TTTTGTGAAACAAGTATGCATTCTTCCCTGAGAGTATTTTTTAAAAAGCAAAGTGAACTCAAAAGACTTCAAAATGCACCAATTATTAGTCCCTACTGCCTCTAGGAACACTTCCAGGATGTGTTCACTTCCTATATTCCTATATGTGAATATAGAAGCTATTCTGATATCAAATAAATGGATAAATATATATGGTATATACTTAAGTATAAGCTGAGTTTTTCAGCCCTTTTTTAGGCTGGAAAAGCCCCCTCAACTTATACTTGAGTCAGCTATTTATTATTTCACTTGTTATTATTATTATAATATTATTATTACATGTATTATTTTGCTCTATTATTATTATTACATTAATTATTTAATTGTATTATTATATTTATTATTTTACCCTATTATTATTATTACATGTATTATTTTACTATATTATTATTATTGCATTTATTACATTAACATTGAAGAAGGCTAAAATAATGGTTTAATCAGAGTTGGATAATCTTACCTAAAATTACAGTTTTATGTAAATATTCAAAAATATTTAACCTACTGATGCTTCAATTAATGCAATTTTATTGCCATCTATTTTTATTTTTAAATTTACCAGTAGCTGCTGCATTTCCCACCCTTGGTTTATACTCGAGTCAGTACGTTTTCCCAGTTTTTAATGGTAAAATTAGGGGTTTTTTTCATGTCAGAAGCCTCAGCTTATATTCGGGTCGGCTTATACTCGAGTATATACGGTAAATGATATATGCCTGAATTTATAGTTCATTCAGCTTCATTAAATGAGCTTTTATAAACAAACTGGTATGCCAAGAAGCTCTATACTGATAGTTCCTATGTAAACTACATTGAAAAAAAGATGAGTAAAGTCAATGATAATATTGCAAAGACTCCTGTGTTCAATGTGAAATAAAGTGTACACACTGAGAATCACAGCATTAGAAGAAACCAGTCCAACCTCCTGCTATGCAGGGACATCTATGGTGCTAATAAATACAACCATTCAGTTACACCTACGTTGAGAAAAAAATTAGTTTAACTGCTATCCCTTAAATTAAGAACCATCCAGGAATATGAAGTGACAAAAGACACCCGGTTTTTGAGTCCTTGGTTCTTTGCAAAACCCTAATTTGGTCTGGCTCCTCTATGCTGATTAACTCCATGTCTCCTATATGGCAGAAAAAAGAAGTAAAAAGGGTAGGTAAAGAAGCTGTTCAGAAATTATGAAAGCCTGGGAACACTGTAATGAAGCAAATGTTACGACAAAGATCATCAAGCTACCTATCAAATGTGAAGGCTGAAGAACACACTGACTTAGGAATAACTCTACCCTCCATGGAGGAAAAAAGTTAGAAGGATACTCTTTGATTGTCACAGACCAGAGGAGAGAAAAGGAAAACGTGCAATTAGTTTGTAAAACTTCAGCTATATTTCATTGCTGCCAAAAGTCTGTCACATTTTTTAAAAAAAGGAATTTCCAGTTTAAGACTAGTTTAATTGGGCATCTATATGGCTCAGCTGCACCTAGGTCGTATTGTGCCATTCCTTCTTGAACTCCTAAGTTTGCCACGACTTTAGAAGCTGCAACTTCTGAGATGCAGAATGAAGCATGAAAGCATTATTCTTTGTGTGGTGTTGTTGTTGTTTTGGGTTTTTTTTTCCGTGTCAGGAGCGACTTGAAAAACTGCAAGTAGCTTCTGGTGTGAGAGAATTGGCTGTCTGCATGGATGTTGCCCCGGGGACGCCTGGATGTTTTACCATCCTATGGGAGGCTTCTCTCACATTCCCACATGGGAAGCTGGAGCTGACAGACAGGAGCTCACCCCATTCCTTGGATCTGAACCGCCGACCTTTCAGCCAGCACGAGCCACCCGGAGGCTCCTGCTACTAACTAATGATGCTTCTCAGCTTTATCAATTGGATTAAATAGCTTTTTATACCTTCTTTGAACTGCTTGGGGTGCCCCAAACTGTAAGCATGATATCAGCATGAACCAACATGTAACAAAACAGATAAAAGCCAGCTTGTTTTCTTAACCTGAATTAATGTGAACTATGAACAGGTTTCATTTTAATAGATTTTACTTCACATTTACAATATTCAACAAACAACTGGCTAGTTTCAAATCTTAATATTTGCTCCATCCTCAGATTCTTATTACTTAGGGATTCTTACTGAGTTACCAATATGAAGGCCTTTCGCATACTCTTGCTTACAATAGTCTTAAAATAATTTAAATTCTGCCACTCACAGTTGTGTTCGCTGTATAAATGATGAAGATATTTGTCCAGCTTGTTTGTTGGAAAGAACATGTCTGAATTTTTAAAAACATTTCTGAGCCAATAGAGCAAGAAATTTAACAACAACAAAGGGACCTCCTCTGCATTTTTGGCAGCAAATGTGTGAAATGTTTTGTTGTGTTTTGTTTGTTTTTTTTTTGCTGGTGTATATGGTTGACTGTTTTTATGATAAAAGAACTTGGCTTTCATAATAAATGTTTTGTTTTTCCTCCAATATAATTTATGATTTCATTTATATTTCATTATGAACAAATGACTTCTTTACTAGTGATTCATTCCATGGGATACACCTTTCCCAAAACAAACATACATCATCTTGGTAAGTGAACTGTAAATCCCAAAGTCTTGCTTCCCTGAAAACTTTGCCCTACAAAGGTAAATGGCTCATAAACAGTTATTATTTATTTACAGCATTTTTATCCTACCTTTCTCAACCCGAAGGCGACTCAAGGCAGTGTAGAGATTGGCAACAAGTTGATGCCACAACATACATACATACATAATTTCCACCATGCAATGCACATGTATTATATGTTGTATGTGAATCAGTTGAGGGACTATTCTAGCTTGGTATACTTTTAAATTCTCAATGATCTCATCTAAATCTGATGACTCATTGGAAGCTACCCTGGAGTTGATGACATTATTATTATTATTATTATTATTATTACTACTACTACTACTACTACTACTACTACTACTACTATTAGATACACATCAAGATTAGTACACAGCAAACAAGATCACTAAGATCACTATGCTGGCTGTTGTACTGGATCACACACTTGACACTTCCCATGTGTCTAGGACTATGTGATATATCGGCAAATAATGTGTGCAGATCCGAGTAGTGTGGCCTATTGCAGCTGGCAGATGGTAATTTTGTCTGCGCTGATTGTGTTTAAGTGCAGGCCAAGGTCTTTAGGCACTGCACCTAGTGTGCCGATCACCACTGGGACCGCTTTTACTGGCTTGTGCCAGAGACTTTGCAGTTTGAGCTTTAAATCCTCGTACCATGCAAGCGTTTCCAATTGCTTCTTGACAATTGTGCTGCCGCCTTTGAATGTGTCAGAGTCATTATTATTATTAATATTATTATTATGATATTTCTTACCCCCTTCCCCTCATTGCTCGAGGCAGGTTGCAGCACAGCTAGACACACAATCATTATATAAAATACACATATTAAAATGTATTTCTACTAAATACATATATTAAAATACACAGAACAAAGATTAAAATATAGTGAATACAAAATGCAAGTTTAAAATTCATGATTAAAACTAGCTGCATAAGCCTGCAGGAAGAGACAAGTCTTCAAATGTGTTTTAAATTTCGACAGCTCATTTAGCTGTCAGAGTTCTTCCGTCAGGTCGTTCCACATTCTTGGGGGGTCAATTAAAAGGTCCTCTGGGGGACAGTCACCAGTCAGGTTCTGACTGGTTGGAGTAGTTGTGCCCCAGAAAACCTAAGTGTTTGGAGTGGATTGTATGGGAGAAGGTGATCAATAGGTAACTTGGACCCAAACCAGGTAGGGCTTTAAAGGTAAACACCAACACTTTGAACTTTGCCTGGAAACTAACTGCCAATCAGTGGAGTGACTTCAGTGTGGATGTAGTATGATTTCTCCTGGATGTTCAAAACAGGTCAAAACATCACTTTTTATACTCTAGGGCAGTAGTTGTCAAAGATACAGAATGGGGGACGCCTGGCTCGAGAGCAGTACGTGTGAAAAAGATCTTGGAGTCCTCGTGGACAACAAGTTAAACATGAGCCAACAATGTGATGTGGCGGCAAAAAAAGCCAATGGGATTTTGGCCTGCATCAATAGGAGCATAGTGTCTAGATCTAAGGAAGTAATGCTACCCCTCTATTCTGCTCTATTCTACCCCTCACATCTGGAATATTGTGTCCAATTCTGGGCAACACAATTCAAGAGAGATATTGACAAGCTGGAATGTGTCCAGAGGAGGGCGACTAAAATGATCAAGGGTCTGGAGAACAAGCCCTATGAGGAGCGGCTTAAGGAGCTGGGCATGTTTAGCCTGAAGAAGAGAAGGCTGAGAGGAGATATGATAGCCATGTATAAATATGTGAGAGGAAGCCACAGGGAGGAGGGAGCAAGCTTGTTTTCTGCTTCCTTGGAGACTAGGACGCAATGGAGCAATGGCTTCAAACTACAAGAGAGGAGATTCCATCTGAACATTAGGAAGAACTTCCTGACTGTGAGAGCCGTTCAGCAGTGGAACTCTCTGCCCCGGATTGTGGTGGAGGCTCCTTCTTTGGAAGCTTTTAAACAGAGGCTGGATGGCCATCTGTCAGGGGTGATTTGAATGCAATATTCCTGCTTCTTGGCAGGGGGTTGGACTGGATGGCCCATGAGGTCTCTTCCAACTCTTTGATTCTATGATTCTATGATTCTATGTTGGGTCCCCAGGAATTTTGGCCTACAACTCCCAGAAATCCCAGTTAGTTTACCAGTTGTTAGGATTTCTGGGAGTTGAAGGCCAAAACATCTGGGGACCCACAGGTTGAGTACCACTCATTTAGGGTAACTCAAACAGTTATTCTCTGCTTGACAGAACATGCACCTTGCATTTATACATCCACAATTCTGGAAAAAGAAACAATGACACTCTAAAAAAAATGATCATGCATATTAAGAGTGCCAGCTTCTCTGATCTCAAGAATGAGTCTTACCTGCATTAAATACATGAACATCAATCTGTCGCAGTGTCTCATAGTCTTCCCCAGAACAGTAGCCTCCAAAAGAGTAGACTTTGTGTCCAACAGCCACAGCCGCGTGGTTCACTCTCCGGGGCCCACCTTCTAAATGCACTGTCCACCGTAACATTCCCTTTTGCGAGTGCTCGATTCCCCCAAGCTGGGGGTGGCGGGATCAGAGTATCATGCCCATAGGGCTACCAACCATGTTGGCTCACAGGCACAAATTCTGCAACAGACAAAGAATACAGGTGTTCAAACACACAGCCCAGGAGGCATCGTGCAAAAATGACTCCAGTGCTTCCCTGTACAACAGCTTTCCCAATGAGTAAGATTTTAATAGCCTCTTAGAAAGTTATCTCACACTGTTCCATTCTTTTAACACTCTTGGGTGTCAGAAAGCAATTAAGCCTGTTAGAAATGTAATAGGCTACTCAGAAATGTCTATGATAGGGCAGAATATTTAATGAGAAAAAATAATGCCTAACTGCTGCACAAAAATGGTTCAGAGGAGTTCGCAAAGTCTCAAATAATCAGGATGGCAGCTAGAATCAATATTGTCCTCATTGATTATGCAATGCTTACTTTAAAGGCAACAAATAACATAAGTTGGCTATAATATGTTCTGTGTGTTTATACTATGAGGTGTTTTTTGCCCTTCCCAGAAAAAATCCCTATAAGAACAATGCAGCTGCTTTTGAAAATGGAATTTTTCAAACTTGAGCGTCATTCTAATTCCACAACATTGTCTGGCACTGATGGGGAAACATTCAGCATCATTATGCCAAAATACAAGGTGAGATGTATCACATATTATTGACAGAAGGTGGAATAAACTACCAGATGGCTGACACTTTCAATGGCAAATCGTGCTTCTTATAATACATAGTTCTGCCCATACAGCAGAACTTAGAATCCAACCAGATCACATGACTCAAAACTGCTCTACCCCACAAGATTTCCCACTCACCGCTGAGACCCTTGCAGTAAATATTCTGCATGAGAACCAGGAGAGTGTAGTCATTAGAGTGATGGACTGGCACTTGGGAAATTCAGGTGCTCTTCCCCCCTGAACCATGAAATAGATTCAGTGACCTTGAGCGAGTCACTGTCTATTAGTGTGACCTTCTTCACAGGACAGTTATTATGAAGATAAAGAGAGCCATGTGTGATACACTGAGTTTGTCGGGGAAAAAGCAGGCTATAACTCTTAACTAAATAATATGCTAGCCAATGTATTAAGGATCATAAACAATGCATGAAATATATATTAAAGCAATCTGTACTGTTATCTAAATTCATGTCTCTTCCTTCTAATACCTCTAGGGTGAACACTGCAAACATCGATATACGCAAAAGTCAAAGTATGTTTGTTTGATCCACAAAGGCCGCTACAAAGCTTGATGGATCTGGACCAAACTTGGCATACACATACTTCGTATTCCAACATAAAATAATTTAGGGGTTTGAACTACAAAAGCAACCCCAAAACGTAAAAAATATGTAAGTAGCACTCAGATGCAACCACAAGAGGGCAGTGTATAGAAAACATTAGCTGCTGGTCTATAGATATGTATGTATGCAGTGCTCAGATGCAAACACAAGGGGCAGTCTATAGATCAGTGGTTCTCAACCTGTAGTCTGTGGACCACCAGTGGTCTGCAAGAATGAAAATATGGTCTGCTGCCTCACAATTGCTACACCATTGCCTAGAAACCATACAGCAACAAAAGCAACTGGTCTCACAAAACCCTCTTATAATGTCAAGGCAACAGGGATGTCGGGAGGGGAAAGGCGGGCTACCTACAAAAGATTACTACTAGATCAGTTCTAGATTATTAAATATGGTTTTCTGTGGGCAAGCAGATGGCGACCACTGGATGGCATGTGTTCGGTATCAGAAACAAGAGCTGATGTGGTCCATCCAATGCAATTTTCTGAATTAGCACCCCAAATAACCAAACCAAATCTAAAGTTGACCAAAAACTGATTTGTAACCCTTTTGGTACTAATGTTGGAGAATGGTCCCTGGTGAAGTGATCCCTTGACCAGGGTTGGGAACCACTGCTATAGATAGAAAGGATTGGCTACTGGCAGACAAAATAGTATTCTTTATTAAAGCCACAAAATGAGGCCTACAACGAGGCAAATGACACAGCCTTGAAGGCCAAAATTGGGACATCTACCCCAAAAGAAAATCACCAATTTAATGAGGATTTATATTTTGTGTGCCTGCATGTAGATGTGTGCCTGCACCTTGCTCTGAGGCTAAGAGATTGTTATGACTTCCAAGGAAAGGCCAAATGTGGTGCCATTTAGGGAGTTAGGCCATGAAATGCCTATGAGGCAAAAACCTGAAGGCTATGGCCAGCAGTTCTTCACCAGTCAAGGAAGCAATCAATGTATTAAAATACATTTTGAAGGGGGCGGGGGAGATGACAAAACTTGTAATGAGGGTGAGAGAGTGTGATTAAAGGGCAAAAGACTGGCACACTCATGAAAACAATTTAAGAATTTATTTAAAAGGGGATTGTCTGCATTTTTCTCTGAGATTGTAAGGCTGAGAGAGAGTGACACACTCAAAACAACCATTTATTACTAACTAGCTTATCTACCCAGTGTTGCGCAGTGGTTCTCAACCTGTGGGTCCCCAGATGTTTTGGCCTTCAACTCCCAGAAATCCTAACAGCTGGTAAACTAGCTGGGGTTTCTGGGAGTTGTAGACCAAAACCTGGGGACCCGCAGATTGAGAACCACTGTGCTGGGGGATGCATTTTTTAATGTTCTTTATGAGAAATACTCATTCTTAGCTTTATAAATTTTCTGATTCGCTCCATTAGAAAATGTGTACCTGGGTAACGCCAAGGACTTAAACTAGTTCAATCATAAAATAAGAATGAACAAAGGAACTTGTTATCAATAGTCATTTGAAAGGACAGGTTCCACAACTAGTTCTTTGAGTGATTACCTGTGAACTCACACAAATGGGTTATCTGCACCTAGGTAGTGCATTGTTTGGAAATTTTTGAAGTTACTACGTAAGCTTTTTGGTTGGAACCACACCTAGCCTTGGGTATGTTATCCCCTCAATTCCTGATTAAACCCTCAGTCTCGTGAACACTGAAGCAGCATCTAAGGATGTAAGGCAGTGAGTGGTTCACAACCTGTGGGTACCCAGATGTTCAACTCCCAGAAATCCTAACAGCTGGTAAACTGGCTGGGATTTCTGGGAATTGTAGGCCAAAACACTTGGGGACCCACAGTTTGAGAACCACTGATGTAAGGAGAAACAGGTCACAAGGAGAATGGAGAGGTTGTGAGAGTTCACAGATGAAACCCTTGAAGAACTACAGTTACAGATATGCAACCAGTCCCTTCTTCTTTGTGGCCTCTGACTTATACAAATGGAAGAGAAGCAAACTACTAACCACAGCAGCAGCAGGACTCAGCAGTATCACACTAGAGCTGAAAGAGTAGGCAGAGAGTATGTATCTCATCTGAAATCCTGTGGCTGCCTCCTGCAGAATTCTAAGGGTTGTAGTTTAGGGAGGGGCCTTTAAAATGCTCAGCAAGAGATGTCCTGAGTCTCACTGAACTACAAGGCCCATCATCTAATATTCTAATACTATTGCGACCCAGAAGAATAAACGGGAGTCTCTTTGTGATCTTAAGGTCTATGCCAGACTTCTCTTAAACACAAGTAGGAGGAAAGCAGGTAGGTTGTTGAAAATTAGTTTTAAATATGAGTCCTTGAGAGAAAATCAGTAGTTAGAGATTTAAACCCACACACCGTTCCCTAGCTATACATCTAAAACGGAACAAAAAATCAAGACCAGACTTCTCTTTTGTGATGACTGTAGTGAGCGTTCTCCAAATCTTGTCTGAAAAGTTAGGGACATTGAACTGCTTAAGCATTTGGACAGTATCACAACATATTTCAGCAATACAAATGCTCAAAATAACACTGAAAAGAATTATATTTATCTGCTTAACTCTTCAGTTCCTACTTACACTAACAAATTCAGAACTAATCCAGGTGCTTGAATGTATTATGCAAGACATGTGTTCAATTTATCATAAGAAAATGATTCAATATTTCTCAGAGAATTTTGGACTGGTAGACAGATGTTCCAGAAATCTTTAAGCAGCAAAGAACATTTCTGAAAATATAACATTAGAATCAAAGAGTTGGAAGAGACCACGTGGACCATCTAATCTAGGCATAGGCAAACTTTCTAACTTGGGGGCCACATGGTGGGCTGGAGCGGGATGAGTGGGCTGGGAGAGTGGGGGTTCTCCTTAAGTCCCCTCCCTCCCTTTCCTCTCTGAATTGCCTACTCCTGATATAGAATCCTAGAGCTGGAAGAGACCCATAAGGGCCATCCAGTCCAACCCCCTGCCATTCAAAAAGGCACAACCAAAGCACTCCCGATAGACAGCCTCTGAGGAAAAGCCTCCAGAGAAGGAGACTCCACCACACACTCAGGCAGTATATGCCACTCTTCAACAGCTCTTACTCTCAGGAAATTCTTCCTAATCTTTTCAGTTGAATCTCTTTCCCTGCCATTTGAAACCATTGCTTCCCTGTGCCCTGGTCTCCAGAGCAGTAAAAAGTCAGTTTTCCCCTTCCTCCTCCTCAATGGGACACCCTTTTAAATCCTGAAGCATGGTTCTCATGTTTCCTCTCTACCTTCTCCAAGCTAAACATCCCCCAGGAGGAAAGGAGGAAGGAAGAAAGGGAGGAAGAGAAGGATGGATGGATGGATGGATGGATGGATGGATGGATGGATGGAAGGAAGGAAGGAAGGAAGGAAGGAAGGAAGGAAGGGAGGGAGGGAGGGAGGGAGGGAGGGAGGGAGGGAGGGTGGAAGGAAGGGTGGAAGAGAATGGAGGGAGGGAGGAAAGGGCAGGAGGGAGGAAGGAAAGACAAAAGGGATGGAAGGGAGCGAGGGACAGAAGGGAAGGAGGGGGGAAGGAAGAAGGGAGGGAAGGAGGGAGAGAGGAAGGAAGGAAGGAAGGAAGGAAGGAAGGAAGGAAGGAAGGAAGGAAGGAAGGAAGGAAGGAAGGAAGGAAGGAAGGAAGGATAGGAAGGGCCACATCCGTCCCCTGGGCCTGGGCTTGCCCATACCTGATATAGTCCAACTGCCTTCCATGAAGGAAAAAGCTAACACCATATTGTGGAAAGGAGAAGTTTTAGAAAAGTTTTTTTTTACACCCAGTATATTAAAC